AGTTTTATGAGTAACTAAAATCTCCCAGACTTTGTCAGATTCAAAAGCCACTCTTCCCTTTTGTGCTCAAATCACTTGAATCTGAGCCTCTGTCCCACCTGCCTTACAGAGATTGCCATCTGTGTTTTATTTCTCATCCCAAAGTGCTTCTTAGGCAATGTCCCTTGCTGGTGGTGGCTGGCTTTCTCAGCATTAGCTGACGCTGGACCACTGCTTTGCCTCTACGCTGGTTACCTCTACTGTCTTGACGCCAACTTTCTGCTGGCTGAGCTGTTTTTCCTTGTGCTGTGCTATCCTGTGGGCAGGGGGAGGGTGTGCAGAACCGAAGGATTTAAGGACCTGAAAATAGCTGCTAGCTGGAGTTGCCCTTCTGGTCTGCAGCTCTGGGCCCTCCACGGAATCCCGTTTTGGGTGTTTGTCTTCCTGGCCTCTGATCTCCGGGGAGAGGGAGCACTGTCATGTTAGTTAACGGTGCCTCTGCAGTCGGAATGCTTGAGTTTAATTCTGACTCTGTCACATATTACCTATTAGTCTTCCAACAAGTTACTTAAGCTCCTATGCCTCAGTTTCCTTCTTTGTAAATTAAGAATAATAGTAGTACCTCCCGCATAAGGTTGATATAATGATGAAAAGATTTAGGACTTGTAAAGTAGTTGTAACAGTGCTTGGGACATAAAAGAGCTCAGTAAGTGTTAATTTCTTTTCTTTTTTAGAAAGACTTTATTTATTTGATTTTAGAGAGAGAGGGAAGGGAGGGAGAGAAACATCAGCGTGTGGTTGCTTCTCACGTGGCCCCCACTGGGGACCTGGCCTGCAACCAGGCATGTGCCCTGATTGGGAATCAAACCAGTGACTCTTTGGTTCACAGCCCATACTCAGTCCACTGAGCCACACCAGCCAGGGCTCTTTTCCCCCCCTCCCCTCCCCTCCCCTCCCCTCCCCTCCCCACTCTTTTTTTCTCTTCTTTTCTTGTTGTCAACATAGCTTCCTCTAACAGGAGTTCCTTCCACATCTGCATGGTATCTAGGACACATTCCTTTGGGTTCTGTGAAAGAGCAGTCTCTACCTTGTCCCACTCCCCCAAGGCCTCTTTATTCTACAGTAGTTGCAGGTTTGATCCCTGGTCCAGGTACATACAGGAGGTGACCAGTTGTAGTTTCTCTCTCACACAGATGTTTCTCTCTCTTTCCCTTCCTCTCTCTCTAGAAGGAAAAATGGAAATGTCCTCAGTGAGGATAAACAATAAACAAACAAATAAATAAGTAAATAAGAAGGAAAGAAAATCTCAGATAAATAATATGACTTTCCACTTTAGAAATAAACCAAGCCCAAGGAAAGCAGGAGGAAAATCTTAAGGATTAGAGCAGGAGTAAATGAAATAGAGAAAAGAACTAAATAGACAGACTCGACAAAACCAAAAATTGGTTCTTTGAAGAGATCAACCATATTGAGAAAACTTAGGCCAAACTGACCCAGAAAATAACCGACAAATTATTAAAATCAGTAATAAAATGGGAACATTGCTAACAGCTTCACGAAATTAAAGAGTATTGTGAGGGAATACTATGAACAATTGTATGCCAACCAATTAGAAAGCCCAGATGAAACAGACACACTCCTAGAAAGACACAAACCACTGAAACTGACTCAGGAGGAAATGGAAAGCCTGATAGTCATACAACAAGTGAAGAGATTTAATCAGCAACTTAAACTGACAAAGGAAAGCCAAGACCCAGGTGGCTTCCTCAGTGACTTCTACTAAATGCTGACTGAAGATTTTAATAGCACACCTCCCTTCCAAAATGGAAGAATAGTGAACACTTTCCCACTCGTTCTATGAAGCAAGTTAGCAAAATTAGACAGATACTATAAGAAATGAAAAATACAGACCAATATCCCTTTTAAAATGCAGATGTAAAAATGTTCACCGAAATACTAGCAAACTAAATGTACCAACATATAATAAGGGCTAAATACCATTACCAAGTGGGGTTTATCCCAAGAATGTAAGGTTGGTTTGTCACATGAAATTTAATTTATGTAAAGTGAAATAAGGCAGACGAAAGAGGGAAAGAACCATATGATTTCACTCATACATGGAATATGAAACAAAAAGCAACAAATGACCAAATTAAACGAATACATAGACACAGACAAAGTTTTGGCGGTTACAAGAGAAGAAAGGGTATGGGGAGGATGAGGAGGTTAACAGGGATCGCATATACGGTTCCAGAAGGAGACTAGCCTTTGGGCAGGGAGCACACAGTGGAATATACAGATGATGTACACCTGAAAGTTGTACACCTGAAACTTATATAATGCGGTTGACCTTTGTTACCCCCAATAAACTTAATGTAAAAAAGAAAATTAGTTGATGTCCATACTGTATTAGTAGTTGATAGGACAAAAACCACATGATCACATCGATGGCTAGAGAAAAAGTGTTTGACCAAATAGAGCATCCTTCATAATAAAAACACTAAACAAGTTAGGATTGAGAAGGAACTTCTCAAACCTGGTAAATGACAGCTAAGAAAAATGCACAGCTGACACTATGCTTAATAAAAGCTGAATGCATTCCCCATAAAATCGAGAATAATACAGGATGTCTTCTTATGCCACTACCATTCAACATTGTAGTAGAGGTTCTAGCTAGGGTAACTAGGCAAGAAAAAGAAATAAAAGTCATCCAAATTGGAAAAACAGAAGCAAAACCATCTCTATTTGCAGATGAGATGATATTGTATATATAAAATCCTGAGAAATAGACACACACATAGCACTAATAAATAAGTCACCAGTGTAGTAAGGTACACCATAAATATACAAAATGCCAATGGTATATCCAGGCAAGAATGATGAACAAGCCAAAAGAAAGTAATAGTACAATTCTACATATAATAGAGTCAAAAAGGAATAAAATACTTAGAATATGTGTAATAAGACAAGTGTAAGATTCCTACACTGAAAACAAACTATTATTGAATGAAACTAAAGAAGACAAATAAATGGAAACATATCTCATGTTCATAGACTTGAGAAGTAAACCTTATTAAATGACAGCACTCCACAAATTGATCTACAGTTTCAACATAATTCTTAGCAATTTCTCAGTAGGCTGTTTTGAAGAGATTAGGAAGCTAATCTTCAAATGTATATGGAAATACAAAGCACTCAGAATAGCTCAAGCAATCTTTGAGGGGAGGAACAAATTTGGAGGACTCAACACTTTCCAATTTCCAAAGCCACAGGAGTCAAGACCATATAGTACTGGCAGAAAGACCAGCATGTAGACCAATTGAGTAGAACTGAAGGTCCAAAAACAAACCCAAACATCTATCACCAATACATTTTCAACAAAGGTGCCAAAACAATTGCTTGGGGAAAGAACAGTCTTTTTCAGCAAGCAGTACTGAGATAACTGATTATCAACACACAAAAGAATGAATTTGTACCCCTGTATCACAGCGTATATAAAAAAAACCTAAAATGGATCTAAAACTGACATGTAAGAATGATAACTATAGAACTTTTAGAATAAAATATAGGTATAAGAATTCATGACTTTGGATTAAGCAATGATTTCTTAGATATGATACCTAAAGCACAATCAACCAAAAATAAAGTAAATAAAATGAATTTCATAAAAATTGTAAGATTTTGTGTTTGAAAGAATATTATTGAGAAAGAGAAAAGACAATCAATAGAATGGGAAAATATTTTATAAACTATCTGGCAAGAGATTGTTGTCCTAAATATATAACAGTACTTACAATGCAACAATAAAAGAAAATGATGCCATTTTAAAGTGGACTAAGGATTTGAATAGACATTTCTCCGGAGAAGACACCGCTGTCCAATAAGTACAGGAAACAATGCTCAGCATCATTTGTCATCAGGAAATGCAACCAAAACCGCAATAAGACACCACTGCACACTCAGTAAAATTACTAAAATAAAAGACACTAACAAGTACTGGTGAGGATATAGAGAAATTAAAACCCTCATACACTTTAGTGGGAGTGCAAAATGGTGAGGCTGCCTTGGAAAATAGTTCAGCAATTCCTGAAAAAGTTGAACATGGAGTTACCATTTACCAATTCCAATATTTAGCTACAAATAAACTTGTACACCAGTGTTCACTGCTGTGTTATTTATAACAGTCAGAAAGTAGAAACAATCCAAATGTCCATCAGTTGATCAATGAATACATAAAAAGTATATATCCATACAATGGATTATTAGTTGCCCGCAAAAAGGAATGCTACAAAAAATTTAAAAAAAATAAGGAGTGGCCTACAAAGGGGCTTGAAGGAAACTTTTGGGATGGTGGACATGTTCTGTGTCTTGATTGTGGACACAGTTGCATGACCATAAGTTTATGAAAAATCAACTGTACATTAAAAAAGGGTAACTTTACTATATGTAAATTATATCTCAATAATCCCTCCAAAAGCATTACAATAAATCCAAAATTAATTGCATATAAAAAAGAGTAAGATAAAAGAAAGAAAAAAAGGAATGCTACAACATGAATGAACCTTAAAAAATCATGCTAAGTGAAAGAAACCAGACACAAAGGCCACATGTTCTATGATTTCATTTCCATGAAATGTCTAGATTAGGCAAGTCTGTAGAGACCGTTGTTTCCAGGGACTGAGGAGCAGGGCAGGTGATGGAGAAGGACTGCTAATGGGTATGAGTGATGAGACCTTTCTGGAATGCGACAGCAGTCATTAAAAGCACCACTGAGAGTTATGTAGACCTTACTATCTTCGTGACCTTTGACAGAAATTTGTGGTGCTAATTATGTGCTGGCCGTGTCACTATGACCTAATGAACTACGTATATTCTTCAAAAGGGAACAAACCTAATGTGTAGAGAATTTAACATGCTACTTCATATTTCAAACCTTATTTCTATACCTCTAAAATGGGAATAACTTCCAATATATTGCAGTCTTAATAACATATCACACTTTCATTTGTGTTTTAACACAGGACCCCCTGGAGCAGCAGTCCCTCCACCTGTAGGCTACCCAGGAGCCTTCCCTGTGAGATATTACAGTCTACAGCAGCCCAGTACCTTCCCCTACTGCAAGCCAACTGGTGGCACCCACCCCATCCAATACCAGCCTGGCAAATATCCAGTGTCGTATCAGTCTGCTCCAATAACCTGGATGCCAGGGCCAGCTCCAATACCAGACTGCCCTCCTGGCCTGGAATACTTAACCCAGGTACTTCACACAAATCCAATGTGTATTTCCTAATGAAGTATGACGGGGGGTCCAACGAGAGACAAAGGGCTGAACTGAGTGGATAAAGTGATGCGTCAGTGATGGTAGATAATTTGGTTTGTGAGACTCTAAGCGTGATGGTATTAATTTTAGAAACGTGAAAGGAGGCCAAAGATGATAGGCATGTTTTTGGTGGGATGAGTATAGTTTTTGTAAAGCATATATTTCAGTTTTAAGACACTCATGATGTCCTGTTGAAGGCAGTTTAAAAAATAGGAATATGAATATAAGAAAAACTATCAAGGATGCTAATTGGGATGCCATTTGCTTAGAAGTAGAGTTAACATGAAGAAAAGCAACATTAAAAAAAAAAGAACAGAACAACAGATAGTGAGTGAATTAATGAGTGTCTTAGCCCATAGCCTTTTCTCACCACCCATAGTTTTTATCATCCAGCCTGTCATTCCCCAAAACATGCAATGCATATAAAAATAGGAGACCTAACAGAGATTTGCTTCAGGCCCAGTTCCTGAGAACCCCTTCACATAGTCCAGCGACTCCATAATTTCCACTTACACAGACATTCTGGAGCTACCAGGACATCCAGGTTAGAAATGGGCAGTATGCCAAGTAGGTGTGCCAAAGGGTGTGTTTCCCAAAATCTATATCAAAAACTCAAAAAGATTGCTTAACGAAAGTAAGAAAATGCTATTATAGAAAATCCCTTAGAAACCACTGCTGAATCATGTTTCACTTTTAGAAAAAGAAAGTGTTGAAAATACATTACAAGTAAGGGACTTGCCAATTCAATACATGTCTTCCCATATAGTCAACCAAACATTCCTTGAAGTTGGTAAGTTTTTCTTTTCAATTTTATGCAGTGATAGAGACTCAGTTAATCTTGTGTATTGAAAACCACTGGAACAACAGTATAGTGTTTGCTACTTGTAAGCCAGTACACTTGGATCAGGAAAATTTGGATTTTACATGAACCAAAATTTTTATGAAATTGTTGTTTTGGCAAAAATAATGACAAAAAAAGCCAGTCATTGAGGTAAAATGTTAGAGTAAACCCCTATATCATTTTAGAAGCTTATAAAATGTTTATGTTAATCAAGTTTAGTCCTTTTTTACACTCAGAGATAAATAACTGAAATTATCTTTGGAATTTCAAGATTTGGAGTCATTTCTCTTTTGAAAATGTATAACTTAAATATTGTTCATTTAAATATTTTTTAAGTTTTTCTTTTTTTTAGTACTCTGACCAAAGTTACATTAACATATTTCATGAATTCTGTTTTCTCTTTCGGGAATGTTTTGAGTTTAAAAAAATGAAAAAGGAAACAAACAGGTTTAGAACCAGACAAACCTGGTTTTTAATTCTAGTTCTACTCCCCCCTTACTCTATAACTTGAATAAGGTTTGTAACATGCCCAGTATTTTTGGCACATAGGGCTCAACCAATAGATGATAGCTGTGTGGATGTTATTAGTTAATACACCTTGTACGTGAGCAGGAGACATAGAGCCCACCATCTTCATCATTTGCTTTATCCTAGCCTTTTGGCCATCTCTTGTGCAGACAGCTGACTCTCTGTCAGGGCTACCATGACTATGGTATCTAAAGTAGCAGGGGTATATTATTTCTAGAATATTGGCTTGGCCAGTGACTCCGCCAGTTTATAGAAAGCTGTTCCGTAACAGCCTTGGTATCTTATTGAGCAAACTTCTTCCACATTAACAGGCTTTGTGTCCTTAGAAAACTTTGCTCAGCAGTGAATGCTTTTACCATGCAGTGAATATTTTCACTCCCTAATTCTAGGTTTTAACATTCTAGATTTTTAAAAGGGGTTATAACTCACCTTAGTGGCCACTTTTGATATTTTGTAAAGGATATATGTGCAGACATGTTTAGATCCTTCACCTGATTGTGTCTTTATGTAATAAAAACATTTTGAATGAAAGATTGTATGTTCCTATACCCTCCTATAATCAATCAAGCCCTAAAACATTCATGTCTAGTTATTTTAAATTTTATTTATCACCATATTTGTGTATCTCTCATTATGTAATGTATTCAACAAGTATTTCGTGAAATATGGTGTCAGGCAGTATTCTGGGCTCAGGGATTAGGAATGATCTAATGATCTATATTATCTAAACTTACACACTTAGAATCAGTTTGTCCTCGACGAGGTTTTTTTTTTCTCTCGTGCAAGAAAGTTGAACAGATAACAGGCCCATTAAACTGTCTTTCTTTAGAGTAACTCCTAGGTAGAGTTAAGTTTGAAGTTTATTTAATGGTATTTCCAGCCTCCCTTTCAAAGGAATCCCACCCCGGAGTTTCCCCTCCTTTGCATTAATCCATATCACATGCTTCTGCCCTGTGAGACCCTCCCGATACTGAAGTGTGCACCTGGGAAAGGTCTTGGTGTTTAGTAGCTCAGGGGAGTGAAAAATCAGCATGTTAATCTCTCAGAAGTACCTGGAAAATGATATAAAATTGGACACCCCTGTGTGCAGTAGATTCTACCTGGCTGATTAACTCTCCTGAAGCCACTGAGACAATTGCTTTCTTTATGGCCGGTCCATGTTAAACTGTCCTGAACTTCCTGAGCACCTCCAGTCTGTGGGTGACATGTCAGAGAGACCAGTGAGTAGGGACTGAGCTAGGGACATTCTGTGTCAACCCAGCTGCTTCTAGATGCTGTTACTGTGCTAGGGAGTAATTTTCTGATATTTTAGACCAAAGTTTTAGTCTTTTACAGTGGAACTGGAGAAAAGTATTTTCTCTCTCAACAGCTCCAGTAACCACCTGATCAGGTGCATATAGGCTGATTCCATGGGGTCAAACGTGTTATATTTTGTTCAGTTTTAAAAAGATATTTTGGTAATGATTGATCAATTTTAATACCTATCTCATCAGTTTCTTTTTTGTGCTGATTTAGTTTAGTTCTGATATTTCTATCTTTCATAATTGCTTTGTTCTATCCCAACAGCTGGACAACATACATGTTCTTCAGCATTTTGAGCCTCTGGAAAGTATGTATAATTCAATAGTGTTTGTCAGTATTTGAACCAGGTAGAAATTTGTATTATCCAATACCTAGTTCCTTACTGCTACTAATCAATTTTTAGTGATTCAGGAAAGTAACCAAGGGAAACATTTTGCATATTTTTATCTATTTATATGTCACATGTAAGCTCTTAGACTTGAACAAGATTTACATTTTATGTGGACAGCTGCCCTACCCAGCTCTTCCATGTTAACTTCTCATGAATGGCAAAAAGAAGGAGCCAAAGTCTAAGTTAGTTAGTCAGGGGCACCAAAGTCAGCTAATCAGTGGCAGAACTGGAAACCTGCTGAGTTCTAGCCCAGTTCCCTTTTTTTGGAAGTAGGAAGAAATCACACTGTACTCATATAATGTCTCTTCTCAGTTCATTCTCGCAAGATTACTGACCCCCCCAGGACCAGATCTACACACTCCCTTGACCACATAGGGCCTTTGACTAATCTTGGTTTGTTTTCTTATTTACAGTTGATATTGACCCTAATCATCTCAACATATTTCATGAGCTGATTAATTTATGGTTTCATATATAATTTCATTTATATGTTTCTGTAATTGTTTTCTGAATTCAGATACTCTGGGAATATTGTTTCAATCTTTGATTTTATGTGAAAGTTTTTAAAACCATTTTACACTGAACTTTTTAAAAGAAATGTTTAAAAATTTAAAAATTATATAAACACTTATATATCATACAAATGATTTTAATATTATATTCTAATCAATTATATATATTTTACATGAAATTTTATAAAAGGTACTTTGCTTTAAGCCCCTAAAAGAACTTATATTTTATTTTTATTGAAGTGTAATTAACATAGAATATTATATTATTTTTAACTGTACAACAATGATTCAGCATTTATATTCCTTATGATATGACCACTAGAATAAGTTTAGTAACCTTCTGTCACCATACAAAGTTATTACAGTATTATTGACTATTTCCTCTCTGTGTACTTGACCGTTCTGTGACTGTTTTTGTTTTTAAAAACTGGAGGTTTGTACCTCTTATTCCCCTTTTTGAGGCCCACTTTAACTACTTCCAATTTAAGATGGTTTTCTCATTTTATCTCTTAGTGATGATGAGTTTTGAAACTAATAATAAATATGACATTAAAAACAACCTGGACCAGATGATTTACACTGTAACTGAAGACACAGATGACTTTACCAGGAATGCTTATCGGACACTGAGGCCCTTCGTCCTCCGGGTCACTGACTTCACGGGCCGAGAAATCATGACAGTGCAGAGACCTTTCAGATGCACCTGCTGTTGCTTCTGTTGTCCCTCCACCAGGCAAGAGGTCAGAGAATGGAAGTCTAACCCATTGTCTCTTCCTGATCCAGCTCCTCACATACGGTTGGGCTCCTTCCAAAACCACACGGGAGGGGGTTTTCACTGGTTCTGTGCATCAAAATGCAACAAGATAGTAAGGAGGGAGGAAGCCTCGTTGTTTCCCCTAAGGAAAATTAAATTACAAAGGGCTTTTTCCTGTGGGTTTATGCTCCTCAGTGCTAATGAGTGGATCAAGCAAAAGTATTTCATAAGTAACCACAATTCTAAGAATTGTGTCTACTGAATTAGAAATTTACCTGTCACTTAAGAGTCACACGCATTAATCTAAATGTACCCATGTATCCTCAGATAAAATATGCTAAGTTAGACATAGGCTTTTAGAGTTAGAAAAGACTTTAAATAACTTCACACTGCCCATCACAATGCAAACCTTGGCTATAAGTAAAGAAAGGGAGGCTCAGAAAGATGGAATACCTGTGGATGGTGTTTCACCTGGCAGGTGGCAGTGCTGGAGCTAGAACAGACGTTCTGAGTTACAGTTCGGTTACTGTTCTGTGACCTGTGTAGCTCTAGGGAAGTTTTTTGCTGAAGGAAAAGGAAAAGCAGGGTCCTGACTGGTGTAGCTCAGCGGATTGAGTGTAGGCCTGCGCACCAAAGGGTGCACAGTACTACAGTATTATCAGTATTACAGCCTTTGTCCAATATATGGGATTTTGTCCCACAACATTACCTAGGTTTTTTCTGATTTCTCCAGCTTGACCTGTGTTCGTGTGCATGTGTGTGTGTTTGGTTCTGTGCAGCTTTATCAGCCATGTAGATTCTTATATCTGCCGCAGCCTGCTGCAGCAAGGGTGGTCGTGAGGCTGAGTGAGGGACTGAATAAAGGAGAGGACCAAATGCTCTGCTGGCATAAGCCAAGTTTATTGCGCAGTCTTCAGGCTTAAATACAATCTTGAGTACATAGAGGACAAAGGAGAAGCCTTCTGGCACGTAGCTCACTTCCTTGACCTACAAAGTTTCTCTCTTCCCTTAGAGTCAGGATGTTCCCAAGCTAACATACCTTCCGGGTACATGACGCACAGGCCAAAGATATGAGTTGATGGGTAAGGAGAGGCGGCTAGTTTCCCAAGGGGTCAGAAAGCAGTCACAACCCAGGACAGCCCCGAGGCCGGAAACCAGGCCCAGACACCACGCCTGCGGTGCAGGACCCTATCCTCGACCCCTCACAGGCCTCCTGGGCTCCAGCATATATCCACCACCACAATTCAAATACCAGTTTTGTTACCACAAAAAACCTTCATAACCATGCCTCCCTCCCTCCCTTCTCTTCATCCCTAACCTCTAGCAGCCACTAATCTGATCTCCAGCTGTCATTTCAAGAATGTCATAGAAACAGAATTGTATAGTATGGAACCTTCCAGGACTGTTTTTTTCCCCCACAGTATAATTTACCTTGAGATTCATACAAGCTGCGACATGTATTAATAGTTCATTCCTTTTTATGACTGAATCATGTGAATTCTTTTATATGATTTATTTAAACTATTTAAACTAATTTATTTGTATACAGGGGTTTTTTTATACCTCAGGCCTAAACTTATATGAAATCTCTGTCCTAGAAAGCTATCAAATTTATGTGTTTGTCTATATGTGTGATTGTATATATGTGAACAGTAATATTTTCATTCGAAGCTGTGTAGTCTTGCCCCATAATGAGATGCAGGGGACTCAGAATTCTTAGGAAAGTATATCTGACACCAAGAAAATCATCTGTAGAGATTTTAGTTTGGTCTTTTACCAAATAATTTAATTTTGTGACTCTTGTTATTATTAAGTATGAAGATCTTAGTTCTTCCCAAAGGAATATTGCAAAGATAATTAGCTGAGAGTATTGGACAGCATTTTAAAAACTTAAAAAAAATGGCTTTTTATACCCAGAACACATTCTGTTGTTTTCCCAATGCACAGTTTTCAGAATGCTTTTCCGTTTTGTTTTCTATCCTAAATGTCATGCCTGAGCTTCAAATCTAAGACGTTAGATTTGATGGTTTTGTGGATTGTGCCAGAAGACGTAAGACGCAGTGATCTTCATTACAGCACAGAGAGTGGCTTGAGCATCAGCATGTTTTTGTACATCCCCGTGTCCCCGCGTTCCATGAGGTTGACTCAGAAGAGCTCCCGTATACGGCTGTGGAATACCAAGCCCAGAGAACTGGCCATTATACGATAAATAAGTAGGAACTTTGTCCCAAAGGGGTGTGTGACCTCATCTCTCAAGGCTGTTCACTAAAATACAAAGCTAAGAAATAACCCGGGTAAAATAGAAGACTCTTTCCCAGTAACAGTTCTCCCCGTCCCCAAACGGATTGAGGACACTTCTCGCTTGTGCGTGTGCGTACACGCACCTACGTAACATCCTCCCCTCTGTCGTGCCTCATTTGCAGCTGGAGGTGCAGTGTCCTCCGGGCGTCACCCTCGGCTTCGTTCTGGACCACTGGAATCTGTGCCGGGCAGTGTACAGCGTCCAGAACGAGAAGAGGAAAACTGTGATGCGCATACGTGGACCGTGCTCCACCTACGGCTGTGGCTCGGATTCTGTGTTTGAGGTAAACAAATGTAACGATAACGTCTCCACATCTCTTTTCTAAGTGTGCTAACAAACCTCAGATTGATTTGGTTTTAGGTGATTTTTCGTGTGAACGAATAGAGTAGTATAAGAGGTAGCTGGTTGACTTTATATGATTTTCAAATTATTGTTAGTGGATTGCTTAATGTTTTCCAAAATGTGAGCTCTATTTTTATAATTTTAGTGTTTGGTAAAGGTAAGCGAAACCATTAAAACATTAATTCTGAGAGTAAATAGCCTGTCATAATCTATGTATTTTATTCTTGGTTGTATTTAATTAACCATTTTTTATCAAAGATTTCCAGGGTCAGAGAACAGGTCCTGAGTGACGAAAAGTGCCCTCCGTCTCCCAGAACACGGGGCACCCCCAAGGCTGTGCACGTTGCTTCTTTGCAGGGTAGAAGTCTGTGTCCTAACGAAATAGGACAACACTGATAACATGGATAAAAGTCAGTAGGCTTATAACATTTTCTCAGAAAAGGAAAAATCTTTTTGCTTTGCTTTTATCTCAATGGATAATCATATGAATCTGACGAAGGAGATTCCTAGAAATATTACCTTAGCTTCTCAGAGTCCTTTCTGAACGCCTTACAATTCAGCAAGCTCATCATCTAAAATTACTGTTTCCAGTAGTTCCCGTGACCCCCAATAAACTTTCCTTAGTTCTCATTTTACATCACCAAGTTATCAAGCATTTCTTATTTTGTAAAAGACCATGTACAGAAATAGAAAGTATAGATAAGCCAAATTGCAGGGGCAAAATTATTCTGTGTATAGGGTCATTCTGATCACCAAAAGTCGGTATCTAAGTAGAAGCTGAAGTCCTTCAGAATCCTGGCGTAATTTAAGAAGACAGGGTCAATTTATTTGGCACATCCAAGCCTGAGTGATTATAAGGAGTTTGTGAAGCGCACAAAACTGTGCCTCATTGCTTTTGCTCATTTGTTTCCCTTCCAATCCCCTAACTCCCACCCTTTGCTATAGGGAGAAAAAATTCAGAACCAATTCAAATCATACCTCCCAACTCATCTAAGGACTAAGAAAGAACACTGTCCTGGGAAGTGTAAGATATAAGATTCCAGCTCAGTTATTGACCAGCTGCAAGGCACTAAGCCCTTCCTGACCATAGCTTCCTATTTGAAATTATGTTCTGATATATTCATTTCCTGCACTGTGTTTGTGGTCAGTGGAGCTGCCTTTAAAATAGAAGACTAACATATGCATTGTAACATTTTTCAGCCATCATACAGCCAGATTCTTATCTCTCTAGGTCACATCCCTGGATGGTGTCTCCAACATCGGCAGCATTATTAGGAAGTGGAATGGTTTGATATCAGCCATGGGTGATGCTGACCACTTTGACATTCGCTTCCCATTAGACCTGGATGTGAAGATGAAAGCCATGATTTTTGGAGCTTGCTTCCTCATTGTAAGCCTTTTGCTTTTGAGTTATCTTGAGAGATTTATTCTTTCTGATGAAAAGCAACATTGTAGAGAGGCAACAGGTTTGAAACTAGACCAACCTCTGCCTCTACCACTTACTAGTTACATGTTTTCTAATGTTTTTAACACATACAAGCTTCAGTCTCCTCATCTATCAAGTGGAGATAAAAATACTTATAATTTCAGTTTATAAATATTAACTATTCAATATCATATGAATAAAGGGGCAGGAGAGTAGAAGATACTAGGCATCAGATGGGTGTATTGTCAACATTGCATGTTACTGATTATTCTCAATACTTAAAAATGCCTGTCCTGCCCTGGTTGGGTGGCTCAGTTGGTCGGAGCATCATCCCGCCTGTACACCAAAAATCCGTGGGTTTCGTTTCCAGTCAGGGCACATACCTAGATTGCGGGTTCAGTCTTGGTCAGGGCATGTACAGGAAGCAATTGATGTTTCTCTCACATTGATGTTTCTCTCTCTCACTCTTTCTCTCTCTTTAAAATCAATAAGAATATATTCTTAGGTGAGGGTTTTTTTTAAAGGCCTGCCCTGTGACTTCTTAATGAAATTAAATAACTCCAAAGCTGATGTCCTTTCCCTGTACCTTACTGTCTCTCTGTCAATGCACTGTTGGTGTTATACCATGTTTGTATTTAGTAGGTGCAATTCCCTTGCTATATTTCTTAGTAATTAGTGGGTAATAGTCATAAGTAAAGCATAGAAATAAACTTGATAATACTTACTCTATGAACCTAATTAACATATTGCAATTGATATTTTTAACATATTTAATATTGATTATCAACTTTTTCTGTCTTTTGACAATAAAAGTTTAGTTAATTAGTATCCCAAGTGGAAAACACATTGGCTGCCAACAGTTTTAAGTTTATAATTGCTGTCCCTTATTTTAGGTCCTTCTTATAAAGATTTATTAGATTTATTTACTTTTAACTGGTGTGGAGGATTGCCAGATAAATTATAAAGGGTAATATTTATGCACTATGTCAAATTATTTATATAAATATAATTCTCTCTCCATATACATATTTATGTATATATAAATTCTTTTTCCAATTTTAGGACTTCATGTATTTTGAAAGATCTCCACCACAGCATTCATCACGATAGATGGACACCGCAAATCATCATTGATGATTTAAAAAAATTAGAAAGGTTGGATTGGGCTTACAGTCAGCCCTCAATTATTTGTGAATATATTTACCTGCTTTTGCAGATTCTTTTTATTTGGTGTTAGCTTTGACATGTAGGCTGCAAGTGTGAGAACACAATCTAATGTATGTTTCAATTGAGTATGTGTCTCATTGTCTGCTTGGTAGAATAGGAGTTCATCCTGAAAAAGCTATGACTCATTAACCAAATAAATATAAATACAAAATGAGCTTGAAAACACTTAAATATGATATAAGGGAAATGAATTCCAGAGCTCTCATATTAGTAGGTAATGTCGATCAACGTAGCCTCTTACCAAAGGCAGATGTGATTCAAGTTGAAAATAATGATACTCTTCATCTTTAAAAACAAAAAGGAAGGTGGGCAGAAATATTAAATTTTTGGAAAACTTAGTTTTATTATGAAAAAAAATTTTTATCATGAGATTTATGTTTTCCATGCCTCAGGGGCTGCCTTATATATGCAGACAAGGTCAGACTATCAGGAAAGAAAGGTGACAAGGGCCAGAGACACTCTAGATCTCTTAGCAACTTAGAGACATCACTGGCCTTATAAAAAACTTACATTTAATACATTTAACCTCTCTTGGTCAGATACCTTACATATTAAATATTTTTGGCCAAATCTCTAAGGTTGTTAATTGAACTGTTGTATCTTGTTTGACATAACACAGAGGAGATAACTTTTATCTTTCAAGAAGCTCCCCTATAATCACTGTACTGTTTTAATCACAAGAATTGGAGTTTTGTTTTCAAATTTTGAAACATGACAGTCTCTGTTACATTTTCTAAAAGCAAGAATTATTCTAAAGATCCAAGATGGCAGAGAAGAAAGTGGAAGCTCCACTAACCTCCTCACAGGACCAATCTGGAATTACAACTAAATTGTAGACAAAGCATTCCAAATAACCAACTGAACACTAGCTGGAGAAAGCCCTATAACCATAGACAGACAGAATAAACCACTGCACCATAGTGGGATGTATAGGGACTGCAGAGGAGGTGCAAGAGGGCTGGCTGGGATCCCACAGGCAGCAGATGAAGATGAGGAGGGATATTTAAGCAGCCAGTGGGATTCCCCTGTGAAGTGTGAGGGCTTAACCCCAAACTGGGCTCTCAGCCTACAGCACCAGAGTAGGAAAGGAACCCAGATAATATCCAGCTATGAAAAGCAGCAGGGTTTCCATATGCCAGGGAGAGATGTCTGGAGGCTCAGAGAGCCTCTTAAAGGGTCAATGCACAAAATTCCATTTGCATTCTCTTACCCTGGGCTCCAGCAGAGGCAGGGCAGAGTAGACTGGTGATGATTGAGAAGAGTCTGAGGATGGTGGCTCTGCAGAGAGAATTGAAAGAACAGACACCAGGATCCCTGTGCTGAGTCATTCTTTGCACTGCAGGAGCCATCTTTCTCAGGCAGAGCACTCCCCTTCAGATGGCATTAGCCTGAGGGGAAGCAAGAGCCCTGCCCATGGAAATTACTCTGCCCCAGCCTGTGGGGCTTAAGGCATGCAGCTGATTATAGCTTGATTAATTTAAGAACTGATCAGTTTAGTGGCTGATTAGTATAACAACTAAAATGGAAAATACAAAGAAGCAGACAAAATGGGAAGACAAAGAAACAGAACCAAAATGAAAGAACAGACTTCCGGTCAAGATGGTGGCATAGGCAGACGTGGCTCACCTCTTTGCACAACCACATCAAAATACAACTAAAATATAGAATAACCATCACTCAGGGACATCAGAAATCAAGCTGAATGGAAGTCTGGCAATTATGGAATTAAAAAAAAACACATTCATCCAGACCGGTAGGAGGGATGCAGACACAGAATGGATTGGTCCAACACCCACATGGATATAAATTCAGGAGGGCTTTTTTTGGGAGCGAGGGGTAACAGACCTAGACCAGACACCCCAGCCCAGGATTCCAGTGTCAGGAGAATAAGTTCCTACAACTTCTGGCTGCAAAAACCAGCAGGGATTGAGTCAGTGGAAGAAACTGCTAGAGCCTTAACCAGTTCCTCTTGAAGAACCCATACAGAGACTCAGCTACTCAGTCCCTCTGAGCTCCAGCACTGGGGTAGCAGCTGGAAAGGCACCCTGGTATACAGGGAGAAACTGAAGTGTCTGACATCAAGGAAATCAGAGGCCATTGACTCTTTGCTAAACCCTTCCCCACATGGAGCTGGTAAGCTGGTGCCATATCTGAGATTCCATCAATTGCTTAACACTGTTTGACCCACATTAGGATCCCCAAAGGTTCTGCCTCACCAACATGTAGGACCACCCAAACTGCCTTTCTGTAAGAATAGCTGGTCTTGGCTTTTAAATCCTAACAAACAAGCAACAGCTGACTTCAGTGAGCCCTAGCAGAAGCCAAATTAGACTCACAGTTTGGCTGCGCCTGGGGAATCTCCAACCCCACCACAAGTAGCTGCCATCTCAGATTGTTTTACAGCTCAGGCAGGGTGCCCCACACAAAACACAGGTGGGGGCTGACCTTGCCCTACACCACCCAGGAAACTCCAGGGACAGCTACAGACCACATCACAACACCACAACTCAGCCCCTGTACAACTCCACAGATGGTGGAATTTGGTGGTCAATGGTCACAACCAGTTCTTGCAGCTGATTGTTCTGGGTAAATACCTCCCATTGACCTGCCAACAGCAACCAAAGCTCAACTATAAGAGGAGGGTATACTCAGCCCACATGAAGGGCGCACCTCAAACGCCCACTTTGGGTGATAGGGGAGGCTGTGCCACTGACCCTACAGTACATGTGCTATATTAGGCCACACTACCAAGACACAGAGTCAAAGCAGCTCAACTTAATACATATAAACAAACACAGGGAGGCTGCCAAAATGAGGAGACACAGAAACATGGCCCAAGTGAAAGAACAGATCAAAATTACAGAAAAAGAGCTAAACGAAATGGAGATAAGCAGTCTATAAGATGCATAGTTCAAAACACTGCTTATAAGAATGTTCAAGGAACTTAGTGAAGACCTCAGTAGCATGAAAAAGACCCAGTCAGAAACAAAGGATACACTAACTGAAACAAAAACAATTTATAAGAAAACAACAGTAAAGTGGATGAAGCCAAGAATGAAATAAATTATTGGGAACATAAGGAGGAAAAAAATCAGAACAACAAGAAGAAAAAAATAATTCAAAAAAATGAGACTAGGATAAACAACCTCTTGGGACAACTTCAAAGGTCCAACATTTGCATCATAGTGGTGCCAGAAGGAGAAGAAAAAGCAAAAAATTGGAAATATATCTGAAAAAAGAGTGAAAGAAAACTTTCCTAATTTAGTGAAGGAAATAGACATTCAAGTCTATAAAGCACATAAAGTCCCAATTATGACACATGAAAAGAAGCCTACTCCAAGATGATAATTAAAAGGCTGAAGGTTAAAGATAAAGACTCTAAAAGCAACAAGAGGAAAGAAGTTACTAGATGGTTGCCAAAAGGGAGGGCTATGGCCTGGCTGGTGTAGCTCAGTGGATTGAGCGTGGGCCTGCAAACCAAAGGATTGTGGTTCGAGTCCCAGTTAGGGCACATGCCTGGGTTGCAGGCCATTTCCCAACAGGGGATGCACAAGAGGCAACCACACATCCATATTTCTCTCCTTCCCTTCCCCTCTAATGATAAGTAAAATCTTAAAAAAGGGGGGGCTGTCGGGGAGAATCGGTGAAAGTTAAGGGGGTTAAGAAGTACCAATATATAGTTATAGAATAGCCATCAGGATGTAAAGTACAGCATAGGAAATGGAGTAGTCAAAGAACTTATATGCATGGCCCATGGACATGAATAATGGTGGGGGGATTTCCTGAGGGAGTAGGGGTGGAGGCAGGCAAAGGGGAAAAATTAGGGCAACTGTAATAACATAACTAACAGGGAAATCAAGGAAACAATCCCATTCACAATTGCTTCAAAAATATAAAAATACCTAGAAATAAACTTAATCAAGGGGGTAAAAGACCTCTGCTCAGAAAATTATATGATACTGATGTAAGAAATTAAAGGAAACAAATAAGTGGAAGCACATACCATGTTCATGGATAAGAATAATTGACATCATTAAAATGTCCATACTACCCGAAGCCTTCTATAGATTCAACACAATTCTTATCAAGATTCCAATGAGATATTTCACAAAACTAGAACAAATATTTCAAAAATTTATATGGAACAACAAAAGGCCCTGCATAGCAGCAGCAATCCTGAGAAAGAAGAACAAAGTTGGAGGAATCACACTACCTAATATCAAACTGCACTATAAGACCATAGTAATCAAAACAGCTTGGTACTGGCATAAAAACAGACACATAGATCAAGAGAAAAGAATAGAGAGCCCAGAAATAAACCCACACTTTCATAGTAAATTAATATTTGACAGAGAAAGCAAGCACATACAATGAGCTGAAGATAGTTTACTTAATAAGTGGTGTTGGGAAAATTGGAGAGATACATGCAGAAAAATGAAATTAGACCACCTTCTTATGCCACACACAAGAATAAATTAAAAATGAGCCCTGGCTAGTGTGGCTCAGTGGATTGAGTGCCGGCCTGCGAACCAAAGTGTCACTGGTTTGATTCCCAGTTTAGGGCATATGTCTGGGTTGCAGGCCAGGTCCCCAGTAGGGGGAACATGAGAGACAGTTGATGTTTCTCTCCCTTTTTCTCCCTCCCCTTCTCTAAAAATAAATAAAATATTTTAAAAAAAAGAATAAATTCAAAATGGATCAAAGACTTAAATGTTAGTCCCCAAACCATACAAATCCTAGAAGAAAAAATAGACATCAAAATCTCGGATATTGCTCATCACAATTTTTTTATCAGCTATGTCTCCCTAGACAAGGAAAACAAAAGAAAAAAAATAAACAAATGGGACTACATCAAACTAAAACAAAATAAAATCTCTTTTGCACAGCAAAAGAAATAATTAACAAAATAAAAAGACAACCCACAGAATGGGGGAATATATTTACCAATACATCTGATAAGGGGTTAACATAAAAATTTACAAAGTACTTTCAAAACTCAACACCAAAAAGTCAAACAACCCAATTAAAAAATGGATCAAAGACCTGAATAGATAGTTCTCCAACGAGGACATACAGATGGCCAAGAGACACATGAAAAGATGCTCCAGTTCACTAATAATCAGAGAAATGCAAATTAAAACCACACTGAAACACCATCTCACACCTGTCAGAATGGCTACCATCAATAAATCAACAAATAAGTACTGACATGGATGTGGAGAAAGGAGAATCCTTGTGCACTGTTGGTGGGAATGCGGACTGGTGCAGCCACTCTGGAAAGCAGTATGGAGTTTCCTAAAATAATGAAAAATGGCGCTGTATTTTGACCCCACTTCTGGGACTATATCTGAAGGAACCCAAAACACTAATTTGAAAGAACATAAGCACCCCTGGGTTCATTGTAGCATTATTTACAATCAGCGAGATAAGGAAGCAGCACAAGTGCCCACCAATGGAAGAGTGGATAAAACAACTATGGGACACTTACACAATGGAATTCTACTCAGCTGTAAAAAAAGAAAATTTTACCCTTTGCAATAGATTGGATGAACCTGGAGAACATTATTCTACATGAAATAAGCCAGTCAGAGAAAGGCAATTACCATATGATTTCACTCACATGTGGAATCTAATGAACAAACTTAATAAGGAAAATGGAGACAGACTCATAGATGAAGAACAAGATGAAAGGTAGTTGCAGGGAGGGAGTTAGGGGGTAGAAGAATTAAACCAAAAGGAAAAGAACTCATGCACATGGGCAACAACAGTATGGTGATTGCTGGGGGGCGGGCCTAAAAACAGACACATAGATCAAGAGATCTTACCTGCCAGGGCAGGTAATAAGTGGACTAAAAGGCAATGTAAAAAAATACAATAAAAATTTAAAAAATAACAGCAAAAACTACAAATTCTGACACAGCTTACTATTACTTTGCTGCTTTTTGAGTAGTAGATAAATCTGTGTCTATGCACAGATAAAACCATAAACATTCTACAGATTATACGGTATGAGTACAGATTATATAGGATGAACACAGTTAAAATATACATTGTACTAGTTTGTATTAACCAAGTAACAGCATGGTGTGTTAGTGACTAGACTCTGATAAATCCACTTGCTTCTCTTGCACGTTACCTTCCTGTCTGGTCACTGACTGTGTGTGTGTTTTAACACAGCGAATGGAGTATGTTCTTCTGCTCCTTATTAAATAAAGCAGTCTGAATGTTCTTAGCTTTGTTATTCTGAGATAAGGGCCTTCAACCACAGTTATTATTAAAGTGAAAGAAAGGTGCCTTGCCTATTAATTGTATTCACCTTTTCATGGCAAAAGTTGTTTACTCAGTTTATTGTAATATTCATTTTTATTCATCACTACTGGCTTTAAAAAACTATGTAAAAGCTGCTTCTTTCTAAAATTCTAATTACTTTATATTTAAAAATGCAATTGTACTTTGAGATATACGTATAATATTTCAATATTTCTCAATAATATGTATATTTTTGAGACATACATATTATTTCTCATAATAATATCTGACTTTTTTCTATAGAAAATCAGACAAGTAGTATTCATAAATGTTATCTGTATAAACTTTTCTTTTTTACTTGCACACATCTCATTCCAAGACCTGCTGCATAATACCAAGAAAAAAATTATTTTTAGCATATGACATTTAAAATTTTTCTTCAAAGTTTTTGTGGTATTAGCATTCTCTTATATTTATAACTTCTCTTTCTTTCACAATAATACCATGTCTTATATTTTTATACAACAGTTCATATTATAATTTCTTTATTTCTTAAATGACATTTCATTGTATACATAGGTCAGATTAATTAAAAAAATAAGGTGTTCTCGAAATTTGTGTGTTTATATTTCATCATATTGTTTCTGGCTTTTAAATAAATATAATATGGCTTATAAAAATAGTGTTTTATATTTTGACTTGTTATTGAGTCTGCTTTGGACTAAATGTTTGTATTCCCTCCAAAATGTATGAATTACCCAAATTCATAAGTAGGCTTTTTTGGGTAGTGATAGATCATGTAGGTGAAGCTCTCGTGAATGAAATTAGTGCTCCCCTGAATGAGATTAGTGCCAGCACTTCGACCTTGGATTTACCAGACTTCGGAACTACTAGAAATAAAAGTTTATTGTTTAAGTCACTACCCTATGATATTTTCGTTATAGCAGCCCAAACAGATTAAGACAGAACTTGGTACTGAGAAAGGAGGTGCTGCAGTAACAAATAGCTAAAAATGTGGAAGTGATTTTGGAACTGCATAACAAGTGGAGACTGGAAGAGTATGGAGGTGCATTCTAGAAAATGCCTAGATTGCCATGAACAGAATTTTAAAGATGATTCTGGTGAGAGCTCAGAAAGAAAAGAGCTGTAGCTAAAGCCTCGGTCTTCTTAGAGATTCCCAAGTAATCCTGAACAGAATGTTGGTAGAAATGTGTGTAATAGAGGCCATTCTGATGAGGTCTCAGGTGGAAATGAAAAACAGATTGATGGGAAACTCAAGAGTTAAAATCTTTTTAGCTTTAAATTTTAGTTACTAAGTTCAGTGATTAATGCCCATAGAAAGCTGTTGTTCCGGGACTTAGAATCTACGAATGGACCAATCCTGACTCCAGGAGACCTGCAAGCAATTCAACCTTTGTGCCCCAGGAGGACTGCAAACAATCAACATGGTATCTGAGTCATTGTGCTCCAGGGAGGGAATGACTGTGGACCAGGATGCAGATAAGGAATCTGGTCAGCAGATGAAGGAATGGTAGGAAAATGGCCGGACTGCAGCTTTTATCTGATTAACCTTTTTCCCTGAATTCCAAACCCCTTACCTGCCTTTTTCCTGAATTCCAAATCCCTTACTTACCCTTTACTTCTCCTGGCAAAGACAAATCAGCTTGAGATGTTAAGATTCTTTTTAGGGGGAAAAAGGGGAGGGATTTTGAGGAACAAGTATGAAAGACACAGGGATGAGGACTAGGGGGGGAGGAAATGGGAGGGAGGGAGGGAGACGGGGCAGGGGGGGCTGGGATGGGAGAAATAGACAAAAAAACTGTACTTGAAAAATAACTAAATTTTAAAAAAAAGAGACAAAAAAAAAGGGACCAAGCTCTACTGGGGGAACCTCAGGCTCAGAACCCGGCCCTGGAAAGCCAGTGGGCCCAGGCTTGGAGTATGCGGGGCCATCTGCCCAGTCCTGTGGGTGATCTGGCCACCCCGGTGGGCCTGGAAGGCAAAGATTCTTCTTCAGCCTCAAGTTTCAATGTTGTGTGTCCCGTCTGATGTTGAATTTCTGGGACCTGTCACTCCTTTCTTTTTTCCTATTTTTCTTTTTTGGAATGAGAATGTTTGTTCTATGCCTGTCCCACTATTTTATTTTGGCGACACCTAATTTTCTCGGTTACACAGGTTCACAGCTGAAGAGAAATTTGCTGTGGGATGAGTCTCACCTTGAGTCTAACCCATATCTGACTTAAATGGTACATATGAGACTTGGATTCAGACTTTTGAGTTGTTGCTGAATCAAGTTGAGACTTTTGGGCTGTTCAGATGGAGTGAGTGTATCTCGCATGAGAGAAGGGCATGAGTTTTGTCCTGAGCAGGGGTGGGACTGCATATTGTGTCCTCCCAAAATTTCTGTATTGAAACCTAACCGCCAGTGTGATGGTACTTCATGGTGAGGACGTTAGGCAGTGATTACATCACGAAACTGGAGTCCTTGTGCACCGGTTTAGTGCCCTTATCAAAGAATCCGGGAAGCTCCCTCACCCCTTCTGCCACGTGAGGACACGGTGAGAAGACAGCCGTCTATGAACCAGGAGGTGGGCTCTCACCAGACACCGAACCTGCCAGCACCTTTTTCTTGAACTTCTGGAACGCTTAGAAATAAGTTTGTTTATAAGCCTCCCAGTCTATGGTAGTTTTGTTATAGCCATCCAAATGCACTCAGGCAGTCTTTGAATATTTTTTTCAAAGAGATTTTCAAACTAATTTCTTATTAAATATCAGGTTCCTTTAAGGTACTTGCTTTCTTATGTAAGTTGAATACAATAAATTCATGTCTGCAGTGTTGCATAATAGTAACTAGCTTTCTGATATTTAAAAGTTATTTACAAACGCTTATTTCTAACCCACTTATTTAGAACACTTAAATTTTAATTATGATTTCAATGTCTGTATCAAGGAGGATAGCTGCTAGAATTTTTAATGTCAGTGAAGGATGAATTTTACTTATTTATTTTTTACTTTTTTATTGAATTTATTGAGGATGATAAGGATGCATTTTAAAACATTTTTCTCTTAATTACCAAAATTTCCAGAAATTAAACGAAAAGCTGGTTAGCAGACTAATTTGCCAGCTGGATTTTTAACTAACCAGATGATAAATTAAGTTCAAATGTAGCATAAGTCATGATTCCACACAATTGTATCCTGCCAGTGTTGGGGCAACTGGCTACTTTTTAGTACTTTCCTTCCACTGCCACTGGGTTCAATGTTTGATTTAATTTATATTAAAAGACCAAGCTCAGGAGACCCATGAGTCTGGATTTATTAAACTAATACCAAATTCAGCTTTTTGACTAGTGATAGCTAACGTTTAAAATGGTTCTTTTCCCATAATTTGGTTGACCTACACAGAATACTTTTTTCTGTTTGTCCCTAGGCCTCTTAAATTGTAAGGCCCAGAAGAGAGAAAATCAGAATGCTACATTCCAGGTAGAGTCAGCGTGGGGCAACATAGTATGTGTGCTTCAGGAAAACAATTAGCATGGTTAATAGGAGCATGTGGCAGGCATCATTCACTCAGTATCTGCCTAATGAATAACAATACAGCCTATGGACATATTTTTGAAATATTATAGTAGCCAGTCAAAAATATTTCATTCTATCAGTATTTACTTTATTGAGCATCCACTAGATTCAGACACTGAACTATTTTCTGAAGACAGGAACATGCAAAGGTGAAAAGTACATAATTGTAGTCTCAGAAGTTCACGGGCTAGTGAATGAGACTTAATTTTTTTGTTTGTTTTACCCTCACCTGAGGACATACTTTTCATTGCTTTTAGAGAAGGAAAAGGAAGGAGAAAGAAAGGGAAAGAAACTTCGATTGGTTGTCTTTTGTATGCACCCCAACAGGAGACCAAACCTGCAACCTAAGCATATGCCCAGACTAGGAACCTGTGACCTTTCGGTCTGTGGGATGACGCCCAGCCAACTGAGCCACACTGGCCAGGGCAAGACAGACCTCTAAGCAAACAAAACCCATATCTTTGAGGGCCACAGTGGGCACGCGCATTCAGTGGGATGTTGGCACACTAGTAAGAGGCCACAGCACTGGCACCATCTCATGTGCTACGTAACACATTTCTGTTCGTCCCTTTAATCACACAGTTTAGGCTGGCTGATTGCATCATATGCCCAGGTAAACTTCCTGATACTGCTGAAGGTGAATAAATTCCTTTCACAGTCTGGTCTGAAAGCTGAATGCATGGTAAATACAATTAGAAGATCAATTTAGCTAATTTTATCAAGCAAATTCGGGATTGGTTGTTTATTACAGTAAACACAGAACCCAGGAGAGTGGTACATCAATGATGCTCATCAAATATTTGTTGAATGAAGGAAAAAAGTTCCACCCCTCAGCACGGATAAAGCAAGTAAGTATGTAACTGCAGCACAAAGCTAAAGAATTATTGCATAAAATAAAAACTATTTTGTTGAAAATGTGCATTACTTAATACCCCCAACTGGTGGGATAACCATCATTTTTCAAAGGACGAAACAAACTTCAAGAAGAGCTAATAGTAAGAAGGGTTTGGGGTGCTATGAAAATTTCCTTCCTGCTGTCATTTTGATGAAGGAAAACTGAAGGATTCAATAAAAGGTGAGAAATCTGAAAGCTCTTGGAAGAGGGAGAGCAGAAGAGGTGGAATGTAGGTAACACCGGGGCTTGCAGCGCTGCGCAGCCTCAGGATCGCGGCTAGGAATCTCAGCAGGCAGCCGGCCCCTCCAGCCCCAGTGTCCCAGTTAGTTCCGCGTGGGCTGGAGGGGAGTGCTCCCGGTTCAGGTGCGTGGTGGATGTGGTGTGGCCGCTGCGGCTGGGGTGATGGTGGTGGCTCTGCACACAGTATCTCAACAAAAAGTAAATAGCAAATTCTAAAAACATTCCGTGATTAGCTAAATGGTTTCCCATTAAATTTCCCTGCGATTATTAGTTCCACTCTTTCTCAACAGAGGAGACAGTCATGTGAAATGTGTAGTTGCTAGGTTGCCTCAAGATCTAATTCCAGGCCAGATGGATACACATCGGAGCATGCATGGAGAAAAAAAACAACCGAATCATGATGTAGGTGATACAATGTGACCAACTACCCATGACAACAGTGACGATGATGATACCAGCTAACTCTTCAGTGCTTCCTAAAAGGTAGACACTGTTCCAGTTCTAAGGGATTTCCATACATTAACTTACTCAATTCTCATATCCCAGTGACACAGGCTACTGTAATTTCTGCCATTGTACAGATGAGGAAATACAGACGTAGGTATCCAACTCATGCCCACAAAGCCATTATTTGAAGTTGGCTCCAGACGCTACACCTTAAATCACTCTGCTCTGTGCTTTTCTGTGTGATATGTGATTTCCTGGTGCATTAGCAGAGAAATATAGGGAAACGGAAATAGCATAAAACAGTGGCATGTTACCTCATGTGTTCTCCAGTGTAGGATCACAGCTGGGGAGCCCCCAAGGCTCCGAGGAGGTCCTGTCTGGGCGAGCGCTCCCCCCCCCCCCAGGGGCTTGCTTTCGCTTCTGCAGGGTCCCCGTGGTGTTTCCAGGCTCGGGTAAATT